GCATCATTTTCCTTATTATGCTAAAATGATAACTCACAACTTGTAACGATGCAAATTCTATTGAACAAAATAAGATTATGTGTGAAGCCTCAAAGTTAACCACTAACTAACGCTTATGACAAATTGCAGTACTCAGACATGTTTGACCCTGGCAAGAAAAGGAACCATCGAATCAAAGGGGTTGCATGGTTCTAATGGTACATTCTTAATTCCGCTTAAGTAAGATCTTTTGAATTCAAGTTCTACAACAAATTTATTTTGGGAAAGGTAACTCTACCATAATGTCTGTGTTTTATTAAAAAAAAAAAATGAACCATCGTAGCAATCAGTAAGATGAAGCAATTTAAGCCCTAATAGTAATGCCTATTCATCAGTTATGAATAGCAATGTTCATATAGATATAAATCAAGTCATCAGAACATTAGACAGAGGTCTTTCTTAATTTAATTATTGAGGTGTCCGTCTTCTAGTAAGACAATTGAGTCCTTTTGAGATGGGGACAAGTACTAGTTTTTGAAGACTTTAGTAGAGACGAACTTCCAGGTCCCCACCTAATATTGAAAAGCACAAGATTCAATTTTATATTATTTTTAGTCTTCTCTTTGTTGTTAGTAATTCCTGCGGTTTCTTGATTAGAATTTCAGTTTGATTAGATAGAGCATTCAAAGAATCAAAGTAGAAGTTTCAAGTTTGACTTATCTAATGTCTGAAAAAATGCATGATAACAAGAAGATTGATCCACAAATATAAGAAACTCACTTCCTCATAAAGCAAACCAAATGAGTTGAAACAAGGAAAGAAGAAAAATGGTGCAGTAGTTAGTAGAGTATTTTTAGAGGTTAGGATTTGAAGGTAAGATTCATTCACGTCTAATACTAGTCATTAGTCAATACCAAATGATAACTTGATTGGTGGCGTGTTGAATGGATGAATTTGGAAGGAAAGAGGGAAGGAGTAATTTTGTATTTTCATATTGAGATAAATATAAAATATTCATATCAATTAAAAGGTTACATAATATTTTTTTTATGTGAAATTTGTTTTTCATGTTGCAAAGAATTTGTGCAATTATTTTTTAATTATATACTCCCGGAAGTATATAATTAAAAGAAAACCAACAATAGCTTTTTAACTATATATTTTCAGGAGTACATAATTAAAAAAAAAAATTTGATATTATAACTATGTATTTCGGAGAGTACATAGTTAAAAAACATTTGCGGTAATTCCTATAACATGCGAAAAAAGAGACTCATTTTTTATTTTACTTTTTACATTAAAATTCCTTAAATAAGTATAATGTTCATGATAAAGTTAGGTTTGAATACTAATAAAAGTATCTTTTAGACAGAATGATTTAAATATATATTTGAATCACTCTATTCAGTCGAATCATCAGCTCATGCTAGCAGTAACTTACATTTGCTTCTTAGAGTTTATTTGGATTTTTTTTTTAAGTTAGAAATTACGTATAAGTTAAAATTAAAAAAAATTTAATAATTACATACAAATTTTAGCTTAAAAGCACATATTTTAATAAAAATCTATCTATCTCTATGACTCTTCATCTAAAAAAATACACAATTCAATAATAGCTTATAAGAGCTTAAAAAAAATCCCTTCTAAGAACTTTTGACTTCTTATTTTTTTATTATAAAAAATTAATTTTTCATTATAAGAATTTTTCTCAAAATTTAATTGACCTATCATCTATTTATAAAAAAACAAAAACTAAAAATAAGAGAATCTAAATAGTGACTTGGATTTTTCTGGTTGATAGACAATATATAATCTCACCGCAAATCCTTACTGCAATCAGCGGTCTTCACTGAACTTGCAAGGGGTGTGCCTTTCCTTTATAATCTAAAGTTTTTTATGAAAAAAAAATCAAATATAAAAATTAAATCAGATACAACAAAGTAAAAATAATTAAGAGATATTATCCCTGCAATATTAGGCCCTAGGACTATCTGGCCTTTCTGCATGTCTAACAGTTTACATAAAACGAAAACTTTTTTTTTTTCGGTGTGGAAACGAAAACTTTTTGCTCTACTCTCATCGTCTCAAATTTTTCCATTCAAAAATAGGTAGTATTTATATTCACAGTATCAAAAGTAGAGGTGGAAAGCCTCCGTTTCACCTTATCATAAACCCGTCAGAAAACGAATCAACTCTTTCTATCCCATCTTTGAAAATAGTCTAAAAAACTCAGTTCATCCCATTTCATTTGTACCAGATGATATTTTACTCTAAAAAAAATTAAATAAAAATCTCAACCCATACAGACTAGTGGGCTTGGCAGGGCAAGCTTGACGGAGTGTGAATTTGAAAAACTTAACTCGTCCTGCCCCGTTTGACAGGAGGAACAGAAGAGCCCGACAAACTAAATCTGTTTTGCCAGCTCTTATCAAAAGGTCCTCAAACAAAACAATGGATAAAAAAAAGGTGTCGTTCAAAAAGGAAGTATAGGTAGTATTTCTTTATTTCTGGTACTGCTTGCATGTAATCAACAAGAGATATAGGACATGTTTGGTACATAGTATAGAATAAGGCTTGATAGTATAAGACCTGATAGTATAAGGCCTGATTGTATAAGACCTGATTGAATTTTAATACTATCCAGCGTTTGGCATGGTATTGTATAAAATAATATATTGTATAAGATCATATCATCTAGTATTTGGTAATGCACTATATAATACTATATATGATAAAAATAAATATTTTTAATAAAAATATCCTTTAATAAAGAATTTATATAATTCTTCAAAAAATGTCATATGATATTAATTTTTATAAAATTTATTGATCAGTGTGTCCAAAATATAAATTAAATTTTGAGAATTACATTGGTCAACGATATTAATACATCAATCTCTTATCAGGCCTTATCTCTCACCATTTGGCCGGATTAAGTTATACATCGTTTTGATGTATTAAGGGATTATGTTGTATAAGCTTATACTATACGATGGTCACACCAAACAACTGAAAATGTCATAACGTATAGTATAAGCTTATACTATCATACCTTATACGTCACACCAAATATGCCTATAGGGGGAAAAGTAGCTGAGGTTCTGTTGAAAGAGTTTCTTTAAAAAAAAATTCCCTAAAAATGAATAAACCCAAATGTACTAAAACTCTCTGTTTATGTGATAAACTTTTTGAACCCTAATTATCTCAAAACTGGTAGTTTCGTGTTGAGAAAATATGATATGCAAAAATTCACATCGCATCATGTCAACACGAATTTGACCCATATTTTTTTAAAAAAAATTTGGTAAATTCGACCTATTTTTTTTAATTTTTTTGTCAATTACCTTTTTAAATCATAGTTTGCATATTATTCATATCGGATCGTATCAATCCGCAAAATTTGTGGGTCGTGTTTGTGTCGAAGATTTTAATACGAATAAAAATTTGTGTAGTGTCATGTCATGTTCATATTACATGTATTCAAATAATGTCAAATTGTATTCATATTATGTCAAATTTATATCATGTCATGTCTCGTTAAGTGGTTTTGACACCCGTTGATCTACTCGCCAACGAAGTTCAAATGACTTAATAAGGTCGGTAATAATTCTATTTTAATATTTATGTTCCTCTGTATATAAAATAGAACTGTTAGAGAGAAGTTGATATAATTTCAAAGGGTAAAGTGTGTGTCATTTTGAAGGATGTAAAGTTGTATCATTTTAAGAGAGAGAAGGAGATAGATAAAGGAGGAGAGAGAGTTGACAAAAAAAATAAATGTGTGAGTTCCACCTCTTTGTGAGAGTGAAAGGATATAAGTTATATCATTTAAAAGAATAAACATTTTTCCCAATTTCAAAAGTTCTAAGAAATTATTACCCTTTGAAATTTAAGTTAATTTGCTGCCACCTTATTTTAATATAAAATTTTATTCATATTTTTAGGAAATTAATTTTTGTTATACCCATCAGCCCAAAAAAAATTCACTGTATTATATACTATTTTTATCCCAAGTAAGAAAGAACATTTTAGTTAATCCACAAATTTTTATTTTTCTTGGTGAACGTTAATCCACAATTTATCATTACATCATAAAGCTAACGTGAAACTTAATTGATTTCTTTATTTCTTTAACTTAAGATGTGCGAGTGATTCCAAAATTTCAACACAGATTCGGAAAACTATTTGAAAATTATGTATTTCATACATTTAGTGTAATTATATTAAAATTATGAAAAAAAGTTATACTTACTATCATTTTAATCTTATTACTCTTATTACTTGATTAGTTACCATTAGATCAATTTGAAATCAACGATTAAAAAATAGAAAAAATTAACTATTGTTGATTTCAAATTAACCAAACAGTAACCAATCAGATAATAAGAACAATAAGATTAAAATAGTAATAAATATAATCGCTCCCAAAAATTATAAATAAAATTGTGCAATCACGAATGTTTAATAATGCAAGTTTCATGTGCAAATGTTGATTTGTGACACTGTCACGTGTTGATTTGTTAGGTTTGTACTTTCTGCAAAAAATCAGAAATTTGTTGATAACAATTGAACGAACACCCAAAATAAGCATTTTATCATGCTCCTACTATATTGAATTGGAAAGATTATAGGAATCTTTCAAAAAAAAAAAAAAGAGTATAGGAAGAGCACCACACATTTCAGATGAGACACATATGCACCAATATCATTTTATACAAATTGTAGATCGATATCCTTATATATTGGCAATGACTAACGCCCCTTGATTCCTAATCCCACAAAACTTAGACGTACCATGACTCATGGCCTACAAAATGACCATAAAATTGAATTTACAAAGGCAAAGTTCCATGTAGCTGCAAGAGGGAATTACGTGATTCCAAACCAGAAACATGAGATATTAAGGCCCTCCTTCATTTGAGTGAGCCCTTTTGTGAGCGTACACAAATCACAATGGTTACTCTGAGTAAGGATTAGCCTCATACTAAAGGAGTGTGAAAAAACCTCATCTGACCAAAAAAGTACCACAAGGGTCCATTTTTTGAAGCAGGGAAAATAGAGCATGCCATACTTCTAAGGTCATTTGCAAATTCATGCTTCTACAGCTACAGCTGCTTCCTCATCAGTAGAATCAAGTGATGCCATTTCTACTGTAACATCTCCAATCATCACCTGCGCCTCTGGCACCATTTCTATCTCCACATTAAGAAGCTTCTCCCTAAGCTTTGTTGTTAATTCTTGTGTACTATTATCACTGTCAGCGAGGAACCTCTTCAGAGCATCCTTGCCGTGGAAATTCCGGCCGTTATATTCGTAAAATGAACCACTCTTTTTGATGAGTTTGTGTTTTAGGCTCAACTCTATGATCTCTGCTTCTCTACATATACCCTTGCCAAACTGAAGCTCAAACTGTGCTGTTTTAAATGGAGGCGCAAGCTTGTTCTTCACAACCTTCACAAGAACCTGGCTTCCTAAAGTCTGCATAGTAAAAATGCCATAAAGGATAACTGTTCACCCCATAAATTATACCTTAATGTATTTAACGAAATCTTAAGACCCGCAGAAAATATGACCTATATGCTTCTATCTTAAGGAAGAGTGTTGGAAACCATGTAAATAGTAAATAGTGTCAAGGTTTATTGTATAGAGTAGCCAAAAGCATGTAATTACAGTAATTAGAATGCCAATTATGTTCGCATTTATTGTTTTTCGGCTATATAATCCAAACTCCAGTGTATAGTTTAGACACACAAATTTCAACGCATGCCTCTCTTTTCTCTCTCTCTCAACAGACGATATCATTAAGCTCAGAAGATTGACATTCCCTCATTTGTCAGTATCACACGATACACGTATTATGCAATACAATTTGGTACGAAGATTGAATGATACGTATTGAAGACATGTATTACGTCTTATATATATCATGCTTTTAAGACCAAAAGGTGCTTAATATTGTTGAATATGGTCAAAGACATGATAGTTTTCATTGAGTTGCAAGAGACTTTAGAGTTTTAATGTCTGATATGATACTGATTACAAATTGTCCGTGTTTTTCAGGAAAAGATGCTAAATTGGAGCCAAAACCAAATAAGGGAAGCCCAAGCACGTAAAAGACCAAATTTCAGAGCTTCTCCTCAAATAACTCACAGGAACAAGAAAACTAGCAAGAAAGGAACAAATTTCAGAGTAACTCGTTGTAATGCTCGCTACAGCGAGCGACGTCAAAGAAAAAGCCCATGGATCTTCTCGTTTAAAAGGCACGACCTAGGGTTTTCTAAGGGGCTTTTGCACAATTTGGGAGGCAGAGCAGCAGCTTTCTGAGAGGAGAAGTAAGAGGAACATTGAAGACTTCACCTTGGATCCCATTTTATCAAGTTTTATCGTAAGCTTTCATCTCTTTTCCTGTTTTGTTTTTGTTTCTTTCAACATGCTAGGCCATTTTCCTTTTTATAGCTAGGGTTAGATGGAACCAATGGGTTCCTAGTGTTATCTTTTCATTTCCTGTAAACTAATACTTAATTTCATGTTATGCAATTAATCTGTTTTTAATTCCTAATTCGTTTTTTGATCTGGCCAATCTTGAATGAACACTAGAATCTTACATGACAAGAGGGATGTTGGTGTAGGATTCTGTTGTAAATATTAGGTCTTTTATTATTATTAGTATTTGTTGTATTGGGCCAAGCCCATTAGGTCAAGAATTAGGGTTTTTGGTCTCTATAAATAGAGACCTCTTTGTATCATATTATTTCAGAATTCTAAAATATATCAGAATACCCTTTTTCAAGTTGGTATCAGAGCTCTCGATCCAGAGGGCTCTGCTTCCGCGCCTACGAAACCTTTCTATTCTTTTTCACGTCTCTCGCTGCCATCAGCCGCCACCGGAAATTTTTTTTCCGGGGACCTCTTGGACCGAGAAGACCATTGCTTCACTGTTCCTCTTTCTTTTTCTTGTCTATTACACAACCAGAAGCAAACGTTCACAGAATCAACGTACAGAACCACCGTACAGAACCTGTTCATCGCGATTGTAACCTTTTTCCGGTGGATTCTTCACTCCGAACAGCCACAGAAACCATCGCGCTCGCCGGACGACCTTCGCCTGAAAAACCCAGCACCATCGGAGGTCAGACGCGCCGCCCTTGTCTCTGCGCGTGAATCCCACGCGCCGCCAGCTTCACCGGCGCGTGACAGCGCGTAACGGTGGTTCTCGGCCGCGGACCACCACGGTTCTGATCGTCTCTCCAAGCCGGTTCTGGATCTGTGCTCTCTACTTTGATCGGACATCGTTTGGTATTTTTTCATAATTTCTTGGCTTCTTGGAGTTTGTTCTTTCACCAATTTCTTGCCTCCGACCAGATCTGACGTTGTTTGGTATTTGTTCCGGTATTTGTTCCGGTCACTGTGTTACTGTTTCGGCCGCTGTGTTACTGTTCCGGTCAGATCTGACGTTGTTTAGTATTTGTTTGTGATTTTGTGGCTTCTTGGAGCTTTTCTTTGACCATTTGCTGTGCAGTATGGCCTCTTCTCAAAGGAGTTCTTTTTCAAAATTTTATGATGGTACCTCTTCTAGACCTAAGAGAAATGATCGATGGTGTTCTTATTGTAAAAGAACAGGTCATATCAAGGATTTATGCTTTCGCCTTTATGGAAAGCAAACTGTCTTAGAAAAGATGGCAAGGATGCGTGGTCAAGCGCATTTTACTTCTTCTGAAATAACCCCTGCACCTAATGAGACCCAATCTGCATTTCGTCCAGATGAGTTGGAACGACTCCGAACCATTCTTGATTATCTGAGTAAGCCATCTGATACTAGTGCTTTGGCTATGACTGGTATGAGCTCCAAAACTCATTCTTTCATTTCTTCATGTAATGATTTTAAACATTCTTGGGTTGTTGATTCTGGTGCTACTGATCATATGGCTTGTTGTGCTGACTCCTTTATTTCTTATCATCCTACCATTGGAACTCATACAATATCCATAGCTGATGGCTCACATACATCAGTTGCGGGTTCTGGTGACATAAACTTACAGCAGTCCTTACATCTTAAGGATGTTCTTCATGTTCCTAAACTCTCCACGAATCTTCTTTCTATTCACAAAATTACAAAAGATTTGAATTGTACTGTAACCTTCTTCCCTACCCATTGTGTTTTTCAGGATCTCGCCACAGGGAAGACGATTGGTAGTGCTAAAGAGCAAGGTGGGCTGTACTATCTGGTGTCACAATCTCCCGCAAATAAAGTAATAGATCACACATTCATGTCTCATGGTCAATCAACTGTTGATTCTTTAATTTGGCTGCATCATAAGCGTTTAGGTCATCCTCCATTTAGTTTACTCAAATCTTTATTCCCGTCATTGTTTTTGTCTAAGTCTGTTGAGTCTTTTCATTGTGATGTTTGTGAATTTGCTAAGCATCATCGTGTGTCTTTTCCTTCTAGTATTACTAAGAGTGTTGAACCTTTTGATCTTATTCATTCTGATGTTTGGGGTCCTTCTAAGGTCCCTCATTCTTCTGGAAATAAATGGTTTGTTTCTTTTATTGATGATTACACTCGTGTCACTTGGGTTTACTTAATGCGTGAAAAGTCTGAGGTACCACAACTGTTCTTTCAATTTTATAAAATGATTGAGACTCAATTTTGTAAAAATATCAAAAGACTAAGGACAGATAATGGTACTGAATATGTCAATCACTCTTTTTCCCAATTTATAAAAAATCAAGGTATGATTCATGAACTTACTTGTGTAGACACCCCTCAACAAAATGGGGTTGCTGAAAGGAAAAATCGTCACCTTGAAGTTGCTCGTGCCTTACTATTTCAAACACATGTACCCAAATGCTATTGGGGAGATGCCATTCTTACTGCAGCGTTCTTGATCAATCGTCTACCCACTCGGGTTCTCGATCATGTAAGTCTTATTCACTCCATGACTTCTTTTTTTCCTTCTGTTCCAACTTTGCAAAGTCTTCCTCCTCGAGTGTTTGGGTGTGTTGTCTTTGTTCATATTCATAAACAGCATCGCAGTAAGTTGGATCCTAGGGCTCTTAAATGTGTCTTCCTTGGTTATGCTCCTGATAAGAAGGGCTACAAGTGCTATCACCCTGGAAGTCGGAAATTTTTTGTTTCTATGGATGTTACATTTCAGGAATCTGAGTCCTTTTTCCAAGGTCCTCATCTTCAGGGGAAGAATAATTCACCAGAAGACTCATCACCTTCCTTCTTTGAATCTTCAGTGTCTACTTCTTCACCTGTGTCAGTGTCTCTTCCTCTTGTTCCTGTTCCTAATGTGTCTATGTCTGATCCTCTTGTGACTGATCCTCCTATGACTGATACATCAAATACACCAGAGATACGGAAGATTGTGACACCTGAATTGGTATATCAAAGAAGGAAACAGCCCACATTGCCTCAACAGCAACCTCAATCGTCTGAACCACTGGTAAGTCCTGAATCTCATATTTCTGATCATGATGTTAATACGTCTGATGACTTACCCATTACTACTGTTTCTGATGACTTACCCATTACTACTGCTTCAGATGATTTACCCATTGCTTTAAGAAAAGGAAAAAGATCTTGTTCCAAGAAAACTTGTTCTTCCTGTCCCTCTTGTACTCAATACCCTATCTCCCATTTTGTTTCCTCTGCTAATCTTTCTGTGCAGCACAAAAGCTTTGTTTCAGCACTAGATTCTACTTCAATCCCAAAATCAGTACAGGAAGCTTTGAAAGATGGGAATTGGGCTCAAGCCATGCAAGAGGAGATGAATGCGTTGGAGAAAAATAAAACGTGGGAGGTTATTGATAGACCCAACGGAAAGAAAGCAGTAGGGTGCAGATGGGCTTATGCCCTGAAATATAATTCTGATGGCACTCTTGAGAGATACAAGGCTCGATTAGTCGCCAAAGGTTACACTCAAACCTATGGCATTGATTATGAAGAAACCTTTGCTCCAGTTGCAAAGATGAATACAGTGAGAATCTTGTTGTCCCTTGCTGCCCATTACAATTGGGATATAAATCAATTTGATGTGAAAAATGCTTTCCTCAATGGTGAGTTAGAAGAAGAAGTCTACATGGAAATCCCGCCTGGTTTTGATTCTGTGAAGGGGAAAAATAAAGTTTGTCGATTAAAAAAGGCCTTGTATGGATTGAAACAGTCACCTCGTGCTTGGTTTGGAAGGTTTACTAAGGTTATGATGACCTTAGGATATAGACAGAGTCAAGGAGATCACACTCTTTTCTTCAAGCACTCCCAAAATGGGAAGCTTACTGTGCTCCTTGTATATGTTGATGATATTATTATCACAGGTGATGATTTTGTGGAGAGACAGATTCTGCAGACACGACTTGCCTCTGAGTTCGAAGTCAAAGACCTTGGGAAACTAAGATATTTCCTAGGGATAGAAGTAGCTCATTCAAGCAAAGGAATTTTTATCAGTCAGAGGAAATATGTTTTGGATCTTCTCAAAGAAGCAGGGAAGCTCGGGTGTAAACCCTCTAATACTCCTATTGAGCAGAATCACAAGATAGGCTTTGAAGAGGAGAGTCCTCCAGTTGATAAAGGACAATATCAACGGCTAGTTGGAAAATTGATATATCTGGCCCATACTAGGCCAGACCTAGCTTATGCTGTTAGTGTTGTCAGTCAGTTTATGCACGATCCAAAGGAGAAACACATGCAGGCAGTAGAGAGAATTCTTCAGTATCTTAAAGCTACTCCTGATAAAGGATTGTTATTCCGACGTGATGGTAATCTCTCTTTAGAAGTCTACACTGATGCTGATTATGCTGGATCCGTGACTGACCGTCGTTCTACCACTGGTTATTGCATGTTTCTTTGCGGTAACTTGGTGACATGGAGAAGTAAGAAACAAGATGTGGTTGCCAGATCAAGTGCAGAAGCTGAATTTCGAGCTATGGCTCAAGGCATTTGTGAGTTACTGTGGCTGAAAATTGTACTTGATGATCTCAAAATAAAATGTGAGGGACCTATGAAGCTGCTATGTGATAATAAGTCCGCTATTTGTATAGCTCATAATCCAGTTCAACATGATCGGACTAAACATATTGAGGTCGACCGCCATTTCATCAAAGAGAAACTTGATAGCGGGTTGATTACCACTCCATACATTCCCACTGGGCGTCAATTAGCTGATCTATAGACAAAGGGACTTCCTTCAGATAGATTTCAAGAACTTACTAGCAAGCTGGGAATGATAAATATCTATTCCTCAGCTTGAGGGGGAGTGTTGTAAATATTAGGTCTTTTATTATTATTAGTATTTGTTGTATTGGGCCAAGCCCATTAGGTCAAGAATTAGGGTTTTTGGTCTCTATAAATAGAGACCTCTTTGTATCATATTATTTCAGAATTCTAAAATATATCAGAATACCCTTTTTCAAGTGATTCAAATTGACTAATTGCTAGGTTTTGCTTGATCTAGGGATAGACTTGTGAAATCTATGACTTTTAATTCTTGTTCTTAATGCTTGCCCTAAGAGAGATCACTAAGGGATTAGGGTTTTGAATAGGGTAAAGGATTGAATCACTAAGGCATTGGGGTTCAATTAATTTAGAAAGAATTTTCAATAACATGAACTGAATGTTAGTTAAAGGAAAGGGTAGATTCATTAGGAAGACGTTGGGGAAATCAACACCCTAGCTATGCCTTTTGAATACTCGATTTTATTCCAATTTTCAGTTGTGTTCGTGGTTCTTGATCTTGATAATTGTTAGTTGGTAGTTTTATTTAGCGTTTTTACATTTAAATCATTATTCACAAACCTTTATGGTCAATCCAACTTTGATCGCGTAGATAAGTTAGTTCTTGATAAATCAATCATCGTGGGAACGATATCCTACTTTACCACTTTATTACTTGTACGACCGGTATACTTGTCGTGATCGCAACATGTATCGGAATAGGCCGTGTTTTGGAACAAGTATAGTGAAATCATGTGATTCAGTATCGTATCGTGAATTGTATCAAAATTTGCGATCCGAAATTCAATCCAAAATCTGTGATTCCAGATTTGGAAATCGAAACGACTATGCAGAATCCAATCCAATATGATTCAAAAGCGATTCAAAATTCAAATTAATACGAATCAGGAAAGTAACTTAAAGATTGGGAAACATAGTTGTTCAAATTCAAATTAATACAAATCTGGAAAGTCATTCAAATTAATGCGTTAAAAAAAGAAAACACTAAAAGACTTGCGCAAGAGAACAACTTAAAACAGAGACTTGCGCAAGAAAATACTAAAACAAAGACTTTTAGTTTCAAACTTTGAGAAAAATAGAGAACAGGAAAACAGAGAACTTGGAAAACAGAAATGTTTAAACTACTTATGAGTAAGATATATGATGCAATATATTTTTAAATCATTTTCCTTAATATTTCTTAATCTTATAATTTGATACGATTCACGATACAAAACCAACCAACGATTCATAATACGTATTACAATTTAACAACCTTGTTATTCACACTTATTTGAAACCAATATTTGAACAAGCATGGTAATACTAAAGCAGAAGGCAAGAGAAGAGAAGAATAAATAGATGATTTGTACCTCTTCACCCTTCTTGACAAGCCCTATTCTTTTGATATTTAGCCGCACAGAAGCATAGAATTTCAATGCATTACCGCCACAAGTAACTTCAGTTGGCCCACCAAATCCCCCAAAAGTAGAAATCTTTGACCTCACCTGGAAAAGCATACACGAGTTCCCATAATTTGAACAAAATTACTTATACTGAAAAGAGACGATGCATATATTCTTACATTATATATAAACAACAGTAAAAGATAATTACATCCACGTCTACCTATGATCATACAATTTTCTCAACCAAGCTCAATCATGTAGGCCAAAGTAAGCTCAACTCTCCACAAATTTACAAAATTAGTTCATTAGCAAATGGCAACTGGGACACCAATACATCAGTGCCAATAGATCAGTATCACATTAAAACAATTTAGACATTTAGGAAAGCAAAAGTACATCAACACATTCGATGTTCTTAGTTTAGAGCTTACGGATCTGATATTTAACCCAGAAATAAAACCCATGTTCCTTAATATCCAAAAAATCATTTTCTATTAGAAGGAAACGGGTGAAGAACAAGGGAAAAAAAAAAGAATTTGAAGTGAATCTTTTAGGATTCCAGATGCATGTTATATGTCCTCATTGTCAAAAGCTTCACCCCAATTAATGCATAGCTTATGCATTTTATCTCTAAGATTACACTTTACATATAAAAGGCATGCACTAAATTTATCATGCATACATGCAACTTTAGCCAGATAAAAAAGAAAGGATGAAAATGTAGATAGGCAATAGCATTAAATAGGAAAAAACACCAGCAGAACAAAGCTAGAGTGGAAGCATAAGTTTAATGTCAACACAGCAATCTAGTAGAAGTTATAGAAAGTACTAATTAAAGCTGTGGAACTCATACTAATTAACGTAAAATCACATTGGCTATCAGACACTAACTAATCCCAAGCTCAACCATTAAATGGAAATGAACAGCTTTGGCTCAAAAAGTCAAGAAAATATAGTCATAGACCAAGATGAAATTAGTAGGCATCAGAAAAACCCAAATCGAAGTTTGCTATGCATACTGCTACATTGCTCAAGATAAAATAATATTCATAACTTGGTAATAGGAAAATTGATGACAGTGCAATCAGCAACTGCAGCTGATACCTGGTTTATAAAAATCAATATACACTGTGAAAGTGACAAGGAGTGGCACAATTTCCGAAGCGCCTGGCTCATCAACCTAGCCTGCATTGCCATGTGAGCATCACCCATCTCACCATCAAGCTCACCTTTAGGAACAAGAGCAGCCACCTATAAATGGAAACATGGCAAGAAGTTAAAGATATTTACTCAACTTATAAGAACATCAAACCAGAAAAACAAGATACCAATGACATAATCTAAACCATATCAAAGTTAAAAAGGAAACAAAAATTAAGAACTTCTAAAATTAGGTCATATGTCAATGCTAAATAATGTGTCAATTCTAAAAAAGTAACCACATCACATATTTCAGGCTCCCAAGAACTTATAATCAAACACAGTATTTGCTGCATGATACAGACAACCGCAAAGATCTCCAGGCGCAAAAGTTACATTAGAATTATTTCATTTAATAAGAAAGTATAAATAAAAATAAAAGATGAAAGAGTTCCATACTTACGCTGTCAACAACAATTACATCAACTGAACCACTCCGGATTAAGGTATCCACAAGGCTAAGTGCTTGTTCACCACAATCTGGTTGTGAAAGAAGCAAGTTCTCAGTATTTACGCCAATAGACTCTGCAAGTGCCTTATCAAGTGCATGCTCAGCATCAACAAAGGCACAATAGCCTGCATGATACAAACAAATTGATTCACAGATACTTTTAACAAGTTGTTTATAGTACTAAAAATACACGGGGCTGCTTGTCATCATTCCTATTAAACTAAGGGAAAAATGTTTCTGCAGTTAATGCAGATAAGTTATCTGCATTTATTCAAAAAATGACGTCGTTTTGGTATTGAAATATTAAAAAATTATAAATATAAAGACTATTATAACCCTGAAATAAATTAAAATTATAAAAACACCATGATTTCTGCCCAAAACGACGTCGTATTGGGTTTACTGCAGATAACTTATCTGCAGTAACTACAGAAAAAGCGAACCCTTAAACTAATGGGAACAGCCCGAAAGATTAACATAGCCCACAAAGATAATTATTGTGAAAATTTCAAATTATACAGACAATCTCTTTCTTCTGTATTAAAAAAAAAAAATAAGAGAAGTGGCGAGGGTAGAACACAACCATTTTCATACAACTAGAAAACTGGAAGCACCTACAAATTGTTGGCATAGTATTGAAGCACAGGTTGAAAAAATGAGAAACCTTTTATGAATGAAAGCATTAAATCTCCATTCCAAACAATTTTAGACAAAAAGAGTGTTTTAGAAACTGATTTCGACATTCATTAAAAAGTTATAAAAAATAAAAACCATAATAAAAAAGCAGCCATCCAAAGTATTGCATCATCCGGGAAAAATATTAGAACAATTGTGACTGCATAACAATGATTATTACATTGCTATTACAGTCATATATACACAAGACAAAAGTTGAAATGCTAAATCTAATAAAATCAAAAACAAATAAACAACTATGTACAAAAAAAAAAAAAAAAAAGCAATAAACAACTAGACATTACAATTATTTCATCAAAGATAGCATATAAAGATAACCTCCTAGCTTCTGTGCCTCCGATATCACATGCAAAGCAAGAGTTGTTTTTCCAGAAGCCTCTGGACCAAATATTTCCACAACACGACCCTACAGACATCACAGTTACATACAATAATCAGTATATAGCTGTTGCATAATGAAACATAAGGTTGATTTTCTCCTGACTTTTTCTCAATATATATACACGCACACACACACACACCATATCATGCATATGGGAAATAATATCTCATAACCAGAAACATACTTTACAGAGTAAACAGTCACGCCCAATCAATCAGTCAAGAAGATTAACAAGTGATAATGGCCATATAAAACCGAAATTCACACTTATTTTTGCAATATGTCAGATAAAATTGTAAAGTGTAATTGGCGTATACTTGCCAAAAGAAATATGCAAAAGAAATGTCAAGGGAAAATTAACAAATTGGGCCAGCGAAAAAAAAAACTCTTTTGCCATCAGCAAGAGCAACTTATTCAATACATTAAAAACAAGTTCAACATTGGTTCAGGTACAACTGAAGAAAAATATACTTTTCTATGCAAGGATCTAAGGATACCTTTGGAAGACCACCGACTCCTAGTGCTATATCAAGAGCAAAAGAACCAGTTGACACCACAGGTACATTTTTGGGCGAGACAGAACGACCAAGCCACATGATAGATCCCTTTCCATATGCAGAAGTGATCTGATCCATGGCTAGTTGAAGGGCCAAATCTTTCTTAGACATGTTTTCTTCACTTGAGTCACTTCCATTTGATTTAGAGTGCCTTTTACCTTCACGTATACAAAAATAAAAAACATCACTAAGCTAAAATCAGGGTAAACTCTAACTAAAACCCAAAGGGGAAAAAAAAGGTACTATGACTCAAATGCACAAAACTCGAGCAACAAAAAGTACTATTTTTTTGTTCCAGTTTGGTTCACTCAATACTACACTAACCACAAGTATCTATCTAGATTCTATAGTCAAAACCACAAATGAATAGGCATTACTGCTACCAACAAATTCCCCATGTCTCATTAAGTCATATTAGACCATCAAACTGAAATGACTGAAAACTTACCACACTGGACTTACTAATCCAAGACCCTATTTATGATCATCATAACTTCTATGCATATAAACTACGGCAATTTAAGCAACAGAGTAGACTTGTTTTCAACACTTTCCACGTGATATTTATGTTTTTAAGTCGTGAGGTTATGAAGAAAGTTCCGAAAACCTTTAGTTGAAAAGCTCAAAACTTGAGAAGTGCCCAATACTCCTGGTTTGAAGAAAAAGCCCTGCAAGCAAGAGCAAGCAAAAGGGTAAATGAATCACTCATCATTCATGCACCAAAACCAATGTCTTAGTAGGTATGCAGATAAAAATTTAAAAAAAAAAAAAAAAAAAAAAATCTTAGAGAAGAAAGAAAGCATGTAATGCTTCACCGTAGGAAGGTCAGGGTGGAAGAAAAAGCGCTTGAGGAGGGAAGTATTGGTGTTTCGAAGCAACCTCGCCATAGAATAGAAGCACCAATGGCGAATGGAATGGAATGTGTTCTGTGAACTGAGGGAAAATGGAATGTCTTTTGTGTTTTTTTATTTATTTAAACAAAAAAAAATAACAAAATTATATTGGGTGCATTTGCATTGCAATTACATCATTACATGAACCCATTTGCCTGGTTTTTAGGGTTTGACTTTCCCTCCATTTTCAATTTCCAATTACACGGGCCCATGCCGTTTAATGTATTGGGCCCGGGCCATGAAATTTTCAAAAAAAAATAGTAAATCACTATTTAAAATTTGGAGAAAATGTTTGTGTCATTTTAGTTAAAATTAATATTTTTTATTTAAAATTTAAATTAAAAATAAACTTCTCATTTTCTTCCCGCATTATTTCCATTGTGTATCTCTTTCTTTCATTTAAAATAACATAATTCTATATCATTTAAAAGGATAAACATCAATCTCTTAAAAAAATTTACGTTCGAAGGAAAATCATACTATTAAAATGAAAAAACATTCCTTAATAAGAGTAACATCAAGTAAAATGAATTATTGAGTAAACTTGTTGGAAACTTCTTTGATTTTGAAAAAAAAAAAATAGACGTTTACCAGTAATTGGAAACTTGTAAGGTAATCTCGTATTTTATGTTGAAATAAAATAGATTTAATAATAAAAAATAGCATTAGCAAAGTCATTGTTGCGACTTCGACAAGTGTATCGGTCGTAAAAATAATAAAATGTACCATAGTACGAGATCGTTTCCACGAGAATTAGAATTTCAATCATTAATTTACTATTCACGCTTTATTTGGACAACCATTTACAAGAATTTTTGAAAGAAAAATTAAAAGTAAGAATTTAAATGTAAATTGTTTTGACAATCAAGAAAGACGCAGTTAGGATTTTGATTCCCTCAATTTTCCCTTTATGTTATGAATTAAACCCATAAGTAATCGCCTTTAATATATTGTCAATCGATTCTTCTAAATTAATTAGGACTTAGTTCCCTTAACACTCTAATTCTTTATAATCTTGAAAGAATCCTAGTTCCCCAGTTATTCCCCAAAAAAATAAATATTGAGATCAAGAATCACAAGATTGCATAATTATCATATGTCTATTCCTATAATCATGAGGATTACAATGAATTTATCATGCATGGATCATATACCAATATTACTATTGTCATACAATTACCCTAAATCAATCTACAACGAGCAACTCATAGAAGCATTAAGAGTAAAAAAATTCATGCAATATAAAAAGGGAAATTAAATTAAACATTCAATCCTTAAACATAAAGGTTCAATTGAGTTCCATCTAATCCTAACTACAAAGAAATCTAGTCTAGCATAGCGAATACAAAAACACAAAAAGATATAAAAGCTTCCCCAAACTCCATTGGTGTAATGACGTTGTGAATCTTCAAAATCCCTAACATATTCTTGAATTCACCCGCCTTCGGTGCTCCAAAGCATGAATGACGCACTTCTATAACCAAAATCAGGATTCCACTCTTCAAAATCGTCAAAAGGTACCTATTGCTCTAAAAATCCCTTTTATAGGTATAAGATCTGTGCCCTAAGTGAAAGCAACAAATTAGGCCTAAGTTGGATCGCATAAGGGCATTTGCACTTCGAGACTAGAGGAACACGTTTTAGTGCTCTGGAGCGCGCTTTAGCACACTCTTCGAAGGGAATTTTCTTCATGATAACCCATGTTAGTGCGCTCCCACAGTAGCTTTTCTTCATTTTTCTCTCTATCTAATGTGTTTTAGCACGTTTAGGCGCACTAAAACGCCTTCCTTGGATGTGAATCTTGCTTCTAAGCCGTGCTTATTTGATCTTCAATCTTATACTCCAAGTTCTTTAACTTCATTCTTGCTCCAATTTATATCAATTTACCTTCAAAACAAGCAAGAATCAATTATGTTAGTTCCTAATTTAATTTTTCATGTTTTTTCACCAAATAACCTTGATTTTCATGCTTTTAACTATATAATTCATATGATCATAGCCCTAAAAACATGATAAACTAAAAGTTTTTCAGATCTTAATATAAATTTATCAGTTTTTAAATCGGATTAAATTAGTTTAAATATAAAAATATAAATAAATTTAGCAACTTACCTTTTTAAAGAATGAGAAACAAACATTTAAGATAATTTCTTAACAATCCAACTTTACAAGCCACCAAAAATGAAATAGTTTACCAATGTGTTAATTCATTAAAACACAAAATTGAACATTATATCTTTTAAAATTCTGAAATGTGAAATTAATTATAGCAAATTCCTTATCAAACTCATATGTGCAAGCTTTACATTGAACTTGCAGAATATGGCCAGAATGAAATATTGCATGCACATATGTGATTTAAAAACATTTTGTAACAATACAAATTCAATAAATAAATTTTGTATAGACAACATCGAATTCAACACCTTTAACAATAACTTGGGATTTACCACGTCACTAAACAGTCCCACATGGATAACGAACAGAAGTAAACATTTAAATATCTTTATACCATGAAACTAATAAATTAGACAACATACAATTCAAATATTGTCCAAGAGTTCTAGCTAGCACAAAAAATACAATAGCAAAGCGGGTTTAGCATGATAGGTCAACCCGTCAATATGGGGTGATAAGACATTATATATATTTTTTTTAGAGGTTACAAGGAATTAAACACAACACCCTACACTACACACACTCTTAACACACACACCCCACACAAGACATTATATATTTCAATCTGTTAACTCAACACAACCCATTTCGCATACAGGCGGTTTAGAAGCGGGGCGGAACAAGTCAATCCGCGGCTTCTCATTTTACTTTTAATTTTTTAATGTTAAATATTATATGATGACTTGGTTGGTTTATGTTAATGACTATTATATTAGACAAAAAAAATTCTTTTTGGGTCATAATACTATTGTTTTATTCGGAGGTTATTTTTTATTCATATTTTATTTTAAAAAATGAAAGATATTAACACAAAAAAGAAAATAAACTTAACCCAACTTTGGATTTTAATGTTGATATTTATACAAATCATCTTGGACGCTTATGAAATTCTAGTTACACGATACAATGATATGTTCATTTGTATTCACATACTTGATTTATTTCTTTTGTTATATAATAACACTAAAATTATTAATTAATCTTAATTCATGGTTTAGGTAGCTATACTAAATAAAATTATTAGCTTAAATCATTCTTTTGCCACTGACTTATTGCTTCACGCTTGTTTAAAACTTGATAAATATTTGGACGTTAGAGATTAGAAACAAAGATTTGTATTGAATTTTTTTCCCCATTATTTTAATTTTTACATTGATTGAGCCGCTAACCCCACTCAAAGTGAAGTAGGTTGGAATACCCACCTACCTCAAAGCAGGGTGAGATGGTAATGGCGGGTCAACTCGTCCCCCTCATTTTTAGCAGGTAAAAAATGGTGATGGTCAGCCTGTTTTGCCAAGTCTATCCTCTAAATTCCAAAGTTGATGTCTTTATAAGTATACTTAATAAAATACAATAAAATTACTACATACATACAGGGGATGGTTCAAATCGATTCAAATTTTTTTATCAAACTGAACGGAATTGAAAAAAGTAATTCAATTCTGAGAACTAAATTGGTTTATTTTTTCAAACCAGCTTAGAACTGGTTTTAAACTTATTCGAACAGGTATTGAATATCCCACCAACTCACTTGTGACCTATTAGTACAAGTAGATATTGGTTCATGTTATTTACCTGTTCAATGAAAAATATTTAAGTTGTCACATTCCCAATCTATTTAAGTGTTGTCTTAAGCAATAGATCTTCAGATAATACGTGAAACTCGCATAGGAATATCTTCTAAGAGATGATCATTTGTATTTTTTGCTTTTGTTTTCTGTACAACAACCATGTATGAACGATAGACTAAAGAATTGTAGTCTAATAAATTGAATCAATTACATTAATATGTCAAAATATTCTTGGCTTATCAATGCTACAACTTGTATAAAAGTTTTGCACAATGATTAAATATGATAACTGAAGCATTGAGTATGTTAAAAAAGAAGAAGCAGAATAACATAAAATAAAAAAATTCAGTTCATGACTTTTTTAAACCAATTCAGTTTTAAAAAATAATTCAGTTCATCAATTATTTTAGAAAAATAGTTCAGTTCTTGAATTGTTTTAAAAAAATAAAAAAATTTAAGGGCCATATACTTCAAGTTCACGGTAGAGTTGAACTCTTTTAATTCTTTAAGGGCCATATAACCCGTTTTTAAGGCAGAAATCATATGTGTATCACTTAGAAAAAAGTATCTCCCGCAATTGATATGAAATGTACTTACAATCAATGTTAAAAAATTCAGACCGGTCTGACCGGATCAACCTAGTAACCAGTAAATCAATTATATAATAGGTTGAGGTGAAATAGCAGAGTCAAGCATTATAACTGGTGAAACTTGGTCGATTTTGGTGAAAATTGGTGACTGAGTCGGTTCAACTAGTGAGTCGGCCAGTTCATAAAAAAAATAATTTGTTCTCATCAATTGATACCTTTTTTTTCACTCTAACATATAAATGATTTGTTTGTTTTTTTTGAAACATTTGAGTGTTATGTTATTTATTGAGTTACATAAGTTATATACCTACAACACTAATATTATCTTGATTATGCAGTATACAGGAAATTTTGATTTGATTGATAATGATGTGTAATTTATTAATTTTCATATTAGAATATTTAGAATTGGTATCATTCTTATTAGGTATTTGAATATATTCATAGTTTTTTTAATATAAAATTCTAGATTTCTATATTTTTACCAGGTCATACGATTGAACCAGTGACTTAATATCTCGATTTTATCAACAATCAAGTTAGATTTAATAACATTGCTTACAACAGACGTAAAATGAGTCACTTCAATTAAAAAAATAAAAATTATATTGACTTTCAAAATTAACCCATAAAAGAATATATAACATAGGGGTTTTCGTTTGTCCTTTAACATGACATGGTAAAGTTTACTACACACACAATATTTTGTGGAGTCCATATTTTTTGAAGCAAAAAAAAAAAACTAAAGGTAGGAAAAATGAATCTCAATAACACAACATAATAAATTTTCCTACAACATAACTCTTATAAAACCTTATAACATATCCAAACAAAAGGAGCCCAACATACTCAGATATCTGTGCTTCTAATTTTTATTTTTATTTTTGTAAATTCTGTGCTTCTAATTTATCCTTTACAAGGCACTGACTAGAGTATGTATCCGCATATATTATTATCAAATATCAAGTCATTGTGTCGTGTAATCGAAATAGCCTCTCGCAGAATTATCATATAAACACAGCAGTGATTGCGAATTTACCGCAATGCCAAGTCTGATCGGAGTGCACAACATGATTGAAATGCACTTTAAAAAGAAAAATAGGGTTGATTGAAAAATCAACCATTGTGATTGTTATAAAATTAATGCACATGTATAATAAACTATAGATTTATTAAAATATTTTCCATTGATTTTCCAATCAATAATCATAACTCCGCACTTTCTTTATTAAACTGCACTCCTTATTTTAGAGGAGCTAAATTTTGCACAATTAATGGTCCTACTTATAACACTGTTCAGAGTCATTGCCAAAATCATAATTATTTTGAGATATGTGAATTTCAATTAATAATAAAAAGTAAACCTAAAAGACATAGAAGCTATCCCTTATACTGCACTATATTATATTAAACTTCAATTAAATTAAGGAAAAAGTGTTTGTCATCTTAAATGACATAAAATTATGTCATTTTAAAAGAGAAATAGACACAAAATAATTTTTTTATTTAAAATCTAAATTAAAAAAAGGGGCATGTTATATTTACAAACTTTTTTATTTACAAACTACATTATCTTCTCTCGGGAGAAGATAGTGTAATTTGTAAAAATTTATCAAAAAAATTTGTAAACAGATCATTCCCCTTAAAAAAACCACCTACTTTCTCTCTTCCATGATTTTTATTTTGTGTGTCTATCTCTCTCTCCTAAAATGACATAACTTATGTCATTTAAAATGACAAACACAAACCCATAAATTAATATGCTACACTACACTATATTATATTACACTACAATACACCTCCTATGATTAATATCTTACTCTACACTATACTACATTATATTATTCTACAGCACACTATAATACCTACTATTAATATGTTACACTATAAAAATTAAATAGCAAACAAATATAAGCTTACTTGATAATAGGGGTGTTAACGGACCGAGCCGAGCCGAGCTTTGGTCTTAAAAAGTTAAGTCTGTGTTTAAATGTGTCAGCCTGATCAAACATGTTACATGTTATGAATATAATTATCAGCCTATGACCTGACTTATTTACAAAAAATGAATGGCTGATTTAGCCTGTTTGAAAAAAAATAAGATAATAAAAATTTATCCAAACAAAATGTACAATCAGCAGCATTAGTAATTTCATAAATATTCATAAATTTAATGTATATCCAAATAACATAATATAGAACAAAATCATTCAAAAAGTCTGTTTAACCAATAAAATGAGGTGAAATGGATTGAAGAGAGAGAGGACTATTATAATTAGTATAAAAAATTTAAAATAAAAATAAAAATTAATATACTAGATCAGTCTAAGAAGCTCTAAGGTCGAGCTTTCGAATTGAAGTCTGAGTTATACAAGTTCAAGCCCGATTCCAACAACCAATTTTAGGCATATAAATTTATGCCTTCACTAGTCGAGCCAAATGCCTCGTTTATCACCCCTACTTGATAAGATACGAGGAAAATTTTTAATATGCTTCAAGACCACTATAATCCTTCCATTAAAAAATTGATATCTAAGCAATTTTTTTTTCTCTTTTCTCTCTCTTCTATCCTCAACTTTTTCTCTTATCTCTGCCCCCACCAAATTTTTTTTTGCCCCATAACCATAGAAATATCGCTTGCTTTAGAGAGAGATAAGAAAATTCAAGAGATGTGGAGGCGAGGAAGATTTTGCAAGGAATTGGAGGACGGACAAATCAAATTATGCGATGTATCACTGTAGGGGATGTGCTCTGTCTAACAATTAACAACGGCTTCTAAACCCGCAGCATGACGACACATGCCAAAACTAGACCCGCTAAGACTAACAGCGAATCATAAATTGTGACACTTGACAAAAATTTTCTAAATCATAACATTTGGATAATTTTATTGGGATTGATTATATTTACAAATTCAAAGTTTGCAAACTCAAAATTTAATAACTACATAGGTACTATGAATGATACATATTATTACATGCTTAAATAAATTATACTACTTATAGTAGATAGTGTAATTGTAAAAATTTGTAAACTTTGAATTTGCAAATACAACCATTTTCAATTTTATTATTACAAAAGCATGGTATTTTGATCTTTGTCCCTCTCAAACATTATGGTGGTGATATTATTAGCAGTTCTTTTTATTAAAAAATAAATAAATCAATATCATAATCCAAACCGAACCAACACGTACTTGAATCAAGTCAATTTGGTACCAAACCAAACTCATTAACTTCGACTGGTTTGAACTGTTTTTGGTCCCAAATCGGAATCAACACAACACCCCTACCTTCAACATCACATACCCGTATCCCCAAAAAAGCCATTCTATGCCTTCTTATAATTTCCTTTGTTTAAATATTTAAATTTACCATTGAAAATGGAGGCCTATAATTTATTGGAGAAACGGACAAGAGGCAAAAACATGTACCAACGCTGAAATACTAACGAGAAAAATTGATAATAATGAAACACAAACTATATATTTAAAGAGTCTGGGACAAAGTCCAGCACTAACAAATCATTATTTATCCGAAACTATAAAACCACATCTCTCCAAATTAATGGAACAAAATGGAGAGAGGGACTCTGAATAAAAATCCAGATTATAAGTTATTATGGGAAAATAAATTAAGGACCATGAAAAACCACAGCAAAAATCAGGCACCTTAGGAACCCCAAAAAACAACTATAAGCTGCATAGCTCTCTGAAGAAATAAATATCTATTGCTGCTTGCACTCTGCAGGACGCTCACCCTGTTGCTGAACACCACCGGCCTGTGCGTTTCCACTCTTCTGAAATGTCCAGAGCCATGCAAAATAAAGACAATATTAATTATAAAACATCAAGCAAATAAATTTAAAAAGAAAGAAAACACATATGACATAATATCTAGGTTGAGATCCTATGATCACAAAATCAAAATATCTTACCTTACTGGCTGATGACTGCAGCAACATTCCAAAGGAGATTGACACCAGACGACGCAGGTGAAAAACAAAAGCATTAATTCGGGTTTAAACCTCAAACAATAAATAAACCTCGGTTTCAGCACTTCGGATCAATTAATATTATACCTTAATTTTAGTCTTACTCTCATCTTCAGCATCCTCATCTTCATCATCCTCTTCGTCTTCCTCTTCATCATCATCATCCACCTCGATGTCTTCATCTCCAGCATCAAGCGTGAGGCCTTCAAACCCCTCTCCGTCAATGGCCTCCCCAGTAAACCATGATACAGCGTGGGGGATAATCTTGTCTCTTATTGCAGTCCTAAACAAGCATCAAAATTCACTGAGGATTAATTCAATATTACAAATGGCAAAGAGCAACAAGAGTCAACAGTTATGCTTAAGCAGCATATGAGCAACATGTTGGACAATGAAAAAACATAAGGCAGCCTACACAAGTAAAAGACACATAAGCTCACCCAATATCATAGTCTTGTTCCATCTGATTCTGAAGTTCCTCAGCCTGTTTAAAAAAATTGAAATTGTTATAGCAATAGCAGAAAATTTCATATTTATTTTTGGCCTTGAGTTTATCTAGACAGACTGTCATACCAAATCATCATCAATGATGACCTCATCATCAGGGACTTCTGGTGGATTGAAAAAATTGAAGAAACTTTCACATTTTTCAGTTTTGGTAATTGGTTTGGCATTCTTTGAACCCTTCTTAGGCTTTTTCTTCAAAACCTTCTGGGTCAAGCATTTTCCCGGGTGCCACTGAATTTCCATCCTATAAAAAGAAGATGGCAAGCAAACCTTATACATCAAGCAAGCCCCTTTTGACAAGATTGTAAACTATGGAAAACAGAAAGCATAGTAACATCATGTAAAAAGACCAGCTTACCCAATTGCTTTCTCCAAGATAGGTTCATCCTCGTCAACCATCTGATATGTTTTTGTCAAGACAGAATTTGAAAAGTAAGGATTGGGATCAAAGAAGAACTCAAGCTTGAATCCTTTAGGGTTTTCTACCCTGCTCCACTTGATATCTTTAAGAAAATTGAGAGCATCTTCATCACGCTCCGAAATCTACTTCATAAAGAAGCAGTAAAAGGATCACTAAAAGATTAACTTTGTTGCAAAACTCATAGAGACATTTATGGGAGAAAAAGTTAACAGTCGAACAATATTGACTAACCTCTCCAGCTAATACGTCATTGTTTTTCATTGCATTGAGCCAAAACGAAGGCACTCCTTTCTCTACACAAGTCACAAGTAAATTGCTATATCATAAAATTGAAAAAAAGTAAAATAAAAGTAAAAATAAAAGAAGAAGGACCTACTACCTTCACCTTCTTCAGTATCAGCTGTCTGTTCATTTACTACCCCTTCCACTTCAGCAACCCCATTTACTATTTCATAGCGCTGCATCGAGAATTTTAATTCTATAATTGATTGAAGTAAAATATAAGCAGTTTCAAATCATATAACGGAAACAACAATGCCTGCCTTAATTAGCATTGTGCCTTATATCAAAGAGAAGCGGATTATGCAACTGAATGTTCCATATATAACAGGTTCAAAGATGAAGATATTACACCAAATGTTCCAACACAAACCAGAATCAAGAATTTTAAATTTTAGAATTGATTAAAGTAAAAAATAAGCTCTTTCAAATTGTATAACGGAAACAGCAATGCCTTCCTCAATTAGCATTGTGCCTTATATCAAAGAGAAGCGCATTATGCAACTGAATTGTGCAATACATGGAAAGATAGCTTATAACATCATATGCAGCTCTCTACAATTACATAATCCTCAGGATACCTTTGTGTACAATGGTTGATACATATTTTGGTATTTGGCTTCAAGAGCTGTTCTCTCCTCAAAAAATTTTGCTTCAATTTCATCATGCTTAGCCTGTAAGATCAGAGAACAAATTCAAAAGATGACATTATCAAATAAGCATTGACTCATCTTTGCTGGGTAGCTAATAAAAAGCAAACACAGATTAATAACCAGGAAGCTCAGGTCCAAACTATACGTGGGTGGAAAAGGTCTAACCCTAGCTAACAAAATTGAATTTAAAACTCAATACAAATATTTTAACCTTAGATGATATATAGAAAAATAGTTAGGGTACAAATAAAAATAATAATAAAATAAATGGAAAAATGAACTAGAATTTTAAATTACAGCTAAAAATGTTTTGCCTCAGTCTAGGTTATCAAGCTGCTATTGTGCCGCTAGTGCAATAAGATGACACTAATGGTGCCTATTTATTTTCTATGTTTACTTCATTGATTTATCTTCCTTTTATTTTTGTGAATAAGATGACACTAATTAATATATTTCCAAAATATTTATAATTTCTTGTTTGCTTTGTTAACATCAGAGAAGTTTTTATTTATAATTGTGTTCTGGAAGCATAGTTGTTAGTATCGCACAAAACACGATATGAATCAGAACTGGTCATGTATCATGCCATACGATATGTATCGTGCCATACGATTCAATACGAAGGTTGAAGGATACGTATCGGAGACATGTATCAAAACTGGTCATGTATAGCGTATAGGCACATATGAATCAAGGAATCATGTGATTCAGTATCACATCATGAATCGTATCGAAAATTGAGATTCAACATTCTATCCAAATTTGTGATTCTAGATTTCGAAATTGATACTACTATGGAAAATCCAATCCAATATGATACAAAAGCAATTCAAAATGCAAATTGATACGAATCTGGAAAGTCATTCAAATTAACACAAATTAATACATTTAGAAAAGAAAACACTAATACAGAGACTTGCGCAAGAGAACAATTTAGAACATTCAAACTACAGGACGTTCAAGAAAGGAGACTTGCACAAGAAAACACTAAAACAGAGACTATCAGTTTCAAAAGTTCAGGAAAACAAAGAACTTAGAAAACAGAAATGTTTAAACTACATACAAATAACTTATATGATATCATATATTTTAAAATCATTTTTCATTATATTTCTGAATCTTACTATTCAACACAATTTATGATTAAAAAACAGTCAAACGATTCACGATACATATTGCGATGCATATATTTTTTTTTTTTAAAAGTGTGTGGATAGTAATATTTCATAAATATATCAAAAATAAAAATTTCCCAATAACAATAAAATTTATTCAATTTAAATTTACTGTATACAATTTGAAATTATACAACAAACGAACATGTAGCAGAAAACAAAAACTAGCATCATAACTACGAAACATAGGAAGCAAGGATATACCTGAATCTCCCTGAGAGCCTCAACGCGGTTCCTGACATTAGGGGATAGATTCTCAAGAATCTCATAGTGCTGCCCACCACCCAGACTAATTATCTTGCCCTACACATCAATTCAGCCATAAAAAAAATTATATAATAAGTCAGCAAATTATATAATACAAACCCAAAACATAAAAAAAACTTAACACTCCAACGATGAACCCAATCCCCTCATTATTCAAAAACTCAGAGTTGGACTAAAACATAGCAAGTATCAAACTTTACAACAAAAAAGAAGAAAAAAAAATCTGGGTTTATAAGAAAGATATAAAATTTCTATCTCTTGTAACAAAAAGAGCAAACAAATTCAGGAACTGAAAGAGAGGCACTCATTGCAAACCTTGAGAGCATTGACTAGCTCCTCTCGTTCCTCTTCATTGAGAGCTGCACAAAAAAAATCAAAATGAGAAGAAAAAAAATTAAAAATAAAAGGGAATGGTGGAGAAAATAAAAGTTTTGATTGGGAAAACATGCAGACCAGCAGTGATATCATTCATGTTGATGGTTTCCCTGTCGTTGCTCATTGTGATATGAAATGAGAAGAAGGTGTGAGAGAGAGAGAGAGGCACAAAGAGACAACAAAAAGTGCTAAAGATCAGATAGTGACAGAGAGTGTGAAGAATGAGGGTTTGCCTCTCTCCTTTTAAACAAAAACCTTCCCCTCCCTTTCTCTTTATTTTAACAATTTATTTATGAGTTATTAGAGTTTTTTTTTTTTTTCTCTCTTTCCTTAAAATTATAAATTTTTAATATGGTTTTTTAAAATACCTACCCCCTCCCTTTTCTGTATTAAACAATTTATTAATTAGTTATTAGAGTATCTCTTTTTTTGTTTCTCTTTCCTTAAAATTATAAATTTTTCGTATGGTTTTTTGAAAAACCTACCCCTCCCTTTTCTTTATTTAACAATTTATTAATGAGTTATTAGAGTTTTTCTTTTTCTTTTTTCTCTTTCCTTAAAATTATAGATTTTTTTTTTTAAACAATATTTCTGAGTTAAATTTAGTTCCTTCTTGCCATTAATTAGTTATACTAATTTGGTTTTCCCAAAGTTGAGATTTTTCCATATTTTATTCTTGTATCCGAAAAAAATATTTTATTCCTTTTATTAGGATTTAGTGCACCCGGAATTCGATTATTAAGAATTTAAATTGTTAATAAATTGTATTAGTAAAATTGATTTATAAGGGATCAAATTTGTATCGTGTGTATCTGACCGCGTCTATTATTTGGTTAAGTGATAAAAATTGGTGTAAATAATATCTCACCATGGAATTTTTTATTTTAAGATATTTTAATCCTTTTATCATTTCATGATTAGTTTGATTTATGATAAGTCTCAAAATTAAAATTTTAAATTTTTTTCAAAAATAATAATGAGAGGATCAAATACATATTCTTTTTTTTTTGTAAATAAAGAGGGGCTAAGCCCCAGAAACAGAAAAAAAATTACAAATCAGAAACTAACAAGTTAGACATATTTCTAGCATCAGCAACTATAAGTTCCATCAACTGAGGAGGAGGATCTTTAAAAATCTTGAAATGGAGATTATTAGTCTGCCCAGCTTTAGCTAACCAATGAGCACATTTGTTGTTTTCTCTCTTGGTATGAACAAGATGAATAGTCCAATCTGCTTTTAACCATAATCTCAATCTGCTAGTGACTTGAGAGTCCCTAAGATCTTCATGCTGCTCCTTTAACATCTGGATGGCTTAGCTAGAATCACATTCTAGCTCTATTCTTTTTAATCCTGTTCCCCAAAGCAGTTCCAAACCTTTCAGTAATCCCAATAATTCTGCATCAAGAGAATTGCAGGAACCTAATTGAACTACTATTCCACCTAAATTATTATTTTGTTTTTTAAAAAAAAACAAGAGTTGTTTAGCCCAACTTGTGCCGCGGCTAAAACGACCAAATGAAATAAAAAAACACAACAGTTACATTTGACGATTCTATACCTGCGACGTGACGAGACATCCAACAAACCGCAACATTGCAAACATCATTGTTGTACCCACCAATGTCACGTGACACTGTACTTCCTAGAATGGTTGCATTAATGAGCTTTCATTTACGGCAGAAATAAACCTAAAAGATAAAAACTAGATGTCATTAAAAATGGTAAAATTTAAAAGATAATTTTTATAAAACTAATGGCTTTAATATTTTTACAATGAATATAAATAAATTATCTACGGTCTAAATTCATTCATTTTGAAAATAATGTCGTTTTGAATTAAAAAATTATAATAAAAAAATTATTATAACTCTAAAATAAATTATAATTATAAAAATACCTTTTTTTATCTTAAAATAATATTATTTTAAACTCAATATAAATAACTTATCTATATTGACAGCAGAAAAAACCAACCTAATCCTAATCCTAATATGCTTATTAGTTGAACAAATTCTAATATTCAATCTCTAAAACGTTTCAATATCTAATTGTTTGAATTAATATAGGAAAATCATTATCTCCTTCTACATGAGATAAGAACTTTTTCCTACATAAATTCATTTTCCGTGTCAATTAATTTTTCTTTTCTTTTTTAATTTAAAATGTGGGACCCACATTTAACTCATCTCTACTTTTTTTCTCTCCTACTATCCTACAACATAAGAAAATATGCACTTATTAATATATTATTAGTAAAAGAAAAGAGTCAATGTTAAGCCGTGGCCCACATGCATGTGACTGTTTGATTTTCGGTTTAGTTTTTAAAAAACTGATATATAAAGTTAATTAGCAAGATTCTTGTATAATTTGAGAGATTTTTATTTAATTCAATAGAGGCATGATACATGAACTATGTAACCATAGAAGGCATTAGATTAAATTTAAAATATTATTTAATAAATTTTAAATTAAATATCAATTAACTGCTAAGAGTATTATTCTCAAAATATATCAAAATTTTTAACAAGACACCAAAAAGATCAATAAGTTTTGGTATTATATTTATATATATATATATATATATATATAGGGTTATATTTATCTCATTCAACATAAGATAAACCAAATTCTTACACACACATAACAAAGGTGGGTCCCATCTCTATTTTTCTCTTTCCAATTATTTGTGGGTCTCTTTTATAATTTTGTGTCACTAACATGAGATAACCTATCTCCATCGACATAAGAAAAATATTTCCCATATATATAAGCTAAATAAGGAGATTAATTCACTATAATTTGTAAGAAATGATCATTGAGAATCAATATACGAATGAATAAGAGTTCTTACCTATAAAAAAATATAATTAATGCTAGAAATAGATTTGATAATTCAGGTCTTTTAATTGGGATACAAAAAATTGTTTATAAAAAAAAAATGGGACAAAAATCCATGTTCTTTCTACATAAAATAAGTTATTTGCATTTACTCCTAAAATAACGTTATTTTAGGATTAAAAAATGAAATAATTATAATTATAAAAACTATAATAACCATGAAATAAATTAAAATTACAGAAATACCATGATTTTCGTCCCAAAATAACATTGTATTAAACTTACTGCAAATAACTTACCTGCCGTAACTATAGTAAAACCGAGCCCTTCTTTCTATTATAGAGCATGTTTCTTAGTTTGGCAAATAAAAAGGCATATAATGGTGATTTTTATTACATTGGTATTTATTATTTTGTTATTGTCAACCACTTTAAAAAAAATTAAATGTTTGGTTTAGTCAAGGACTAGTCATTCACACCAAAACAAAGGGATCACTACAAAAAAAAATGATGACGTGGCGAAATTATATGCAAAACAATCAATATATTTTGGTATTATATACTAATATATAGAAAAGGTAAATAAGGAAATTAATTAACTGTGATTTGTAAGAAATGATCATCCATAAGTAATATATCAATGAATAAGATTTCTTACCTATAAAAAATATAATTAATGTTATAAATAATTTTGTTAATTTAGGTCTCTTATTTGGGGTACAAATCCATGTTCTTTCTAGTATAGAGCATGTTTCTTAGTTTGGCAAATAAAAAGGCATATATTGGTGATTTTCATTATATCGTATTTATTATTTTGCTATTGCCAACCACTTTCAACAAATTTACATTTTTTTTTTTTTTGTAAATAAAGAGGGGCTAAGCCCCACAAATTTACATCTTTGTTTTAGTAGAGGACAAGTCATTCACACCAAAACTGAGGGTAGTGAGGCCTGAGGGATCACTGGTGACGGCGAAATCATACACAAAACATGGCTAATAAAAGCAAACACACATTTACAAACGTGGCTAATTATGGCGTTTCAATATTTTAGTCACATTTATTGTTTTATGTGGCCACCTTTTTTTTTAGTGTGGTACCATTAATTTAACCACAGTATAGTTATATTTAGAATGATTTGACCATGGCTATTTTAATAAGATTTAAAAAAATAATAGTCACAATATATTATGGCTATTTTTTTATTTGCCGACATTTTTCAAATTTTTTCTAAAATCACTAGAGATTAGATAGAAAAGATCGGTCATTCGAGGTGGACCAACTAACAATAAAGATTAATTATCACGAACCAGAGAGAAGGTTTAATACCTTTTTGAGAATTTTGTACAAGTTTCATTGATTTCAAGAAGTTTTGTTGTCAATACAAGCAAAGCAATCATGAATAAATGAATGTACAATTACAACAACCAAAACAATTTGAATCGGGGGGGGGGGGGGGGGGGGGGGGGGGGGGGGGAGATTGGGCAAATAAAGACATCTTATATTTTCAAGAGTATTCAATTGATTATCCAATTTCATTGACAATTTGTATAACATCATTTTGAGGGTAACTATGAACAAAGAATAGTAGTCCGAGTCAAACTGCTATTACAATTTAAGTTGACTATGTTTTTTAAGCAACTACGTCTGCAATTTCTCAAGGGCTCAACAAGATGAAATACAAACTTTCTTATGTCTTCAAGAATTGCATTTACAGTTCCACACATCTGCAAAAGAAAAACCTGATACTACAAGTAATGCACATGATACACCTGCAAATATTATAGTCAAATTTTAGCTATTAGGTGACGTTTGATAGAGGAGAAATTTTTGTTTATGCGAAAATCTTGATTCTCTAGAATATGGTGAGAAAATGAGTTATTCAGAAATGTGACTAAAAAGGTGTTCGGTAGGTACAAATTTTTCCGAGATTTTGTGGTTAAGTTTACTGAGTTTGTATTTGGTTGATTATAAAATATTAGTGGGATTGTAAGATTATTTTACCAAAATAACCCCGGTTTTATTTTGATTCAAAAAGTTCTGTACGTGACATCATTTGTTCAAAGAACACGTACAAACAAAAGGGTAATGTGGTCTATTCCTTCGCGGGTCACTTTTTACTTTTCGAGGCAACAAAAAATTCCACCTAATCTATAGCATTTCACTGGTGGGGACCATACATAAAATTACACATAAAAGCTATTTCCGGAAAAAAAAAATTACTCGAGAAAGTTTGGTGTTTTTTCATATCAAACATGGCATTGTTATTTTTCCTATAATGTTTTCAC